GGGCGGCCCTTCAGGCCCAGCCTGCTCCAGCATCAGCTTCCCATGGAGTCAGTGACTTCTGCAGACACATCCCCCTGCTCCGGCGTGGGGTCCCCCCGGGCTGCAGGGGGGTCTCTGCTCCCCATGACCCTCCATGGGGGCAGGGGCACAGCCTGCCCTCTCACCAGAGGCTGTAAGGGAACCTCTGCTCTGGGCACCTCCTCCCCCACCTTTCCTGATCTGGGTGTCTGCCTGGCTGTCCCTCTCACACCCCACCCCTCTCTCTGCTGCAGGTGCCAGAGTAGTTTTTTCTCTCTCTTAAATGTTATCTCAGAGGCACTACCACCATCTCTGATGGGCTCAGCCTCGGCCAGAGGCGGCTCTGACTTGGAGCGGGGGAAGCTTCTAGCAGCTTCTCACAGGAGCCAGCCCTGTAGACTCTGCCCCACTACCAAAACCCCACAGCACAAACCCAATACACCTACCTACTCCAGGTGCTAAAAGCCACAGCTGCTACAAAAATAATGATTGTCTGCCAGGCTTTTTTTCCTGAAGTGGTAAACAGGGCAATTCAAGCCATTGAGGCAAAAAGACACCCAGGCAATAAAAACCCGAGTCCTCCCCTGGACAGGCTGGACTGCCTTCCAGTTAACCTGGAAGGGAAACCTCTTTCCCCAGCCCACAGCCCAGCCTATGGGCGAAGTGCTACAGCACAGCTGAGCCCTGCCGCCAGCTCCGCTGGCTGGAAAGGCAAGGCAGCATTCCCTCTCGCCTTTCCTCTCTTGCCCTGTTTTAGCAGTGCTGCTCCACCCTCTCTTGCCAGGCTCTTTGCTGAGATGCCTCTAGTTCCTAACTTGGCAAAGAAGTTTTCTGTGTCCTTAGGTTAGTTTGGTGAGCTGTATCCATCAGCTCAGGGATGGATCTGACTGCCCTAAGCGCAGAGAGGGCTTGGGAAGTGTAAGCAGGACAGCAAGTCTGTTGGGGGATAGTTAGCCATTAAGGTAGGCTCAGCTGTATTATGTTAGGACTTTTATGTAGGTGGGCTGCCTGTCTTCTAAACCAATTGCCCTGGACTTGTCTTAAGTGAGCTCAGAGCCTTTCCCTCTATGCTGTTTTGCAGTCCAGGCCCGCTAGTGCAATGTTATTCTCCACAGTGCCAGAGATACCCTGGATCTCACATGGAGATTTGCTCACTGCTGAACAGCAGATTTTTGGCAGGTTCTGCTCTAAGGTCAGAGTTGGATCCGATTTCCACATCTGTCCCAGAAATACTGGCTTCTCAACCAGATGTGTAAGCTATATAAGCATCTTCCAAGCAGGCAGCTGGTCTGTGGAGCTTTTTGGATTTTGGGTTGCAATTTAAGGACAGACATCTCTGTAGATGTGCGTGCACTGCTTGTAGCATCCCAGCTCTGTGCTGCAGCAAGACAGGGGCATACTGTTCCCTGACTCACTACTCACTATTTTCCCTGGGCAGAGGGCATGGGCCCGGAGGCCAGAAAAGAGCTGTGGCATAGAAAAAGAGAAACCAGGCGGAAAATCGGGGGCCGGGGCTGCAAGGAGAGCCAAAACGCATGCCAAAGTAGGGGTTGTGCCTTTGTAGCTCTGTTTGTAAAAGCTCTCAGGCCTGCAGGGCTGCTCGAGAGCAGAATGAAGCCAACAGCTTGTGCAGAGCCCTGGGAACACAGTTGAAGTTAATTGTGGAGGGAGGGTATCAGGTAAACCAGTGCTTCCAGACCGATGAACTGAACAAGAACAGGTAACAGCGTTTAACCTGGTGAATAATCTTAAGAGACATCATGTAGAACAAGTCTACTAACCCGGTTGGTAAGTGGCCAGCAGATAGCGAAGGTCTGTGGGTGTTAAGGGGAGGGTGTAGCTCGATGGGAGGACTCAGGGGCCGGACTCAAATCAGGTGGTGAACTCAAAGTGTCCTCCCTGCTGGAGTTTGCTCGGGGCGGTGCTGAATTTACAACTTTCAGCTCTCCCTGAGGTGGTAGACACTGGATGCCGTGGCTGAAGAGCTCAAAACCTTTTTTTATCTTCTTTTAAGAGAGGAAATAAAATAACCCTGGCCCTAAAACAGTCAAGACCTTCAGGTCAGTCTTAAATTCTTACCTCTACCGGCAGCTGCTTCTCAAGCCCTGAGGATTTCACTGAGCCAATTTAATGCTGGTGGTCAGACAGTTTAAACCCATTAGCTGCCAGCTATCTGAATAATTTTCTCCTCGGAGCCCAGCACTCCGGCAGACTGCTCTAACCAGAACTACAGAGAACAGCCACGTTACCTGCACGTTTGCTGACTGTTGTGGCCTGCGTGGTGAGCATTTGAGGGGCGAAGAAAATGCCACTGGCTAGATCGCTGTCCATGACTTCTCTGAATGGGCTTCCTCAGTGGGAGGATGAAGACCTACCAGTGGAGGATTTGTTGCTCTTCGAAGTTTCTTGGGAAGTTACCAACAAAGGTTTGTAGAACACTCTTGGGAGTTGTTAGCTCTGTTTTCACGGGAGTGGAGGGAGGCGTGAAAGGCTTTAAGGGGAGATTGGGGAAAAGCGGGCTGCAGAGGCCGCTTTGTTGGGCTTTGATGTATTGGAAGGAGTGCATTCTGCATCCGTGTGTGATCATGAATGCCGTGTGTGGGCTGCATCTGCCTGCGCTTGTGTGGGATGGGCACACAGTCAGGACGCCTTACGTGTTTCACCAGCAGAGGTAGGTTGTTGGAACAAATGTCTGAGTGTTATGCCAGGCTGTGCAGATGTACAGATATATAGATGCTGCTTTGTACCTACTTATATTTTATCTTCCATGCAAATTCACTTGGGAATGTAATGCATGGAAATGAGCGGTAAACCAGACATCAGATTCAGCAGTCTTCCTCAGCCTTTAGAGCAGTGTGAAGAAGCCGAATTTGAAAGAGGTATAAATAAACATAGCTGCATTGAAGCCACTGAACAAAAACCAGATGTCAATGGCCAGCCGTCTTTATGCCAGCTGAAATACTTTTGGACTGATCTTTGCAAACACAGGTGGTGCCAGACAGGGACTTCATGCTTTCTGCACGTGTACAGATTGAAAATCTGTTCACTGCGTGCAGCCTGTCATGCAAAGTGCATGCTGCTTGTTATGCAAAGATCTTTCTGCCTGTGCTTCTGATTTATTCACGAAACCATCCCATTTCAGCTAGGTGTAGTTCACCAAGGGGGAAAAGGCTCCGTTTTTGCCATGATAGTGAGTTGGTATGAGTAAATGTTTGACCTCATGTGTCTTACTGTCCTGGCAGATAAATAGATTAGTCAGGAGAGGAGATCTGTAATCTGTTAAGATTTTAACACTGAAGGGGGAATGTGTGTGAGACGAACAGACAGTGCTAGGGTTTATCTATGGTGAAACTGGAATCACTATTCTGTGATAGCCACTGGTATTTAATCTGCACTGCAGTGCAATTTTACTTTGCTCTTTTTAGGTTGGCGAGGAGTATCAATACATAGAGTTAGTACAGAGTACCCCTTGCACTTCAAATCCTTGTGGGCTTATTTTTCAGTAGCTTCAGGCAAGCTTTTTGAGTGAATTTACTGCTGTCAGAACTTGGAGCGTGCAGCATTTAGTTGTGCAGTGTCATAAGTAAGTCACTGACAAGCAGATGGCAGCAGAAATCTAGCAAATTCAGGTGTTCTCGCTAACATCTCTGAACTCCATAGTATATGTATTTTCTGAGTCATCTGGACTCACTGGTTATAGACATCCCAATATGTTTAAAAAAAAGTAAAACACACAGATTTATCTTTCTGTTGTACAAAACGCAGTGAATCATTTGGTCATCCATATAGCTCTTGTGACTTCACTGAAGCCAAGTCAACTGACACGGCTAAAATTCATTATTCCCACATTTTATGAGAGAATTAATATTTATAGGAGTGACTGTTTATTCAGTGAGTTTAAAAGTAAGGTGCTGTTAATTACACCATTTACCAAACCCATATATTTAAACAGGGCTGACTGAACTAGTCACAGCAAAAAATTTCTTCCTTAGAACCAGATCTCTGTCCAAAGCTTCCATTAACCATTGTTGACTTAAAATATTTGTGCAAAACCTCTTTAATAAGACTATTTCAGCCTATTTTTTTTCTGGAAATTCTTGATACTGACTTTTTTTTTTCCCCCCTCTTTCTTCCAGTCAATTGAATCTCTGAGTCACGTGATGAGATGCCATTCCCTTGTGACCTAACTTTTATAAACAGTTCTTGGAAAATGTTAGGGTACTGTGTTTCTTAGGAGAGAGAGCAGCCAACAAAATACAGGGAGAATCATCACAGAAGATACATAGGCTTAGGAAATAGTAGCTGACACTGTATTTTTCCTGCCTCCTTTAGGCAGAAGGAAGAATGTATTTGACTAAGTAAGCTGACCCCACATAGGTTTAGTACAGCTACATGGTTCAGTTTTAATGTTGGTATATATATTCCTAATATAGAGGGAAAGATAATGTTTAGCTGGGTTTATTGTCTGACCAGCTTATTTTGAGCATTTAATGTGAAGGTTTCTTTCTTTAAGGTCCCTTCCAACCCAAACCATTCTACGATGATTCCTTTCTGGCAACGCAAAGATGTGTTAGGGTAGTTCAGCATGAAGCTTCCTTGCACTGCTAAAGTGGTGCAAAGCTGCTCTTCCTACAGGAGAGAGTTGAAGTCTTTGTATTAACTTTGTGTGCATCACTAAGTGCTTGGCTATGGGTTCATTTCCTCCTTGACCCGTGCTGCTGCTTAGTAGTTCCTCCATTTCTCAGTGACAGTGACAATAAGGCTGAATGTTGTCTTCCCTGTGAGGAACATACTACGAGTGCTACAGATGGCTGTCTCTCCCCACACCTGTACACAGTGCACTTTACAGGTGCTGGGCTGTTTTCTGAACCTCTCAAAAATATTCTCCTTCAGAGGCTGATGATCCAGGGCCCCTGCAAATCGGAGCACATCTGATTACGTATTGTGGGAGGACCTTCATGTGCCAGGCTGCCCATGGGAAGTGAGGACTTACTGGGATTTCCCTGAGGAGGAGATGGTGCTGGTTAGTACTGAGGCATGAAATGCAGCTGTAGGGAAGGACAAGTACATCTACAAGCATCCATTGTTTCCAAAGTCTCATCACTTCTTTCTCAACGGCTGTCACAGTGGAAGTGTCTCTTGGTTCTGGTGTATTTTTCAAGCTGGGTGATTTTAACACATGCTCTAACTAGGCAGAGCTTTCTACTTCTCTACTTTTTATATTCTCTGTCCTGGCTGCTGCCTGTGCTAAGTGGCAATCTCTGACATATATGTTGGAAAGTACCGGCAATTCTTCTTTCTTCTTGTGTCTGTCTGGAGCAAGGAAAGACAAGGTAGCTGAAAGAGAGGATGAGAAATGAAAAAGAGTCATTTGCCAGTGTCACTTTGCCTGCAGAAAGCAACTTGATGCCTAAACCAAGCACAACAGTGAAATCATCTTGCATTGAAAGTCCCCTGCCAAAAGAATGAGAAAAATGTAGTTTGTTTTTCAAGAGTTTCCTCACTTGCCCACTGATGGGGACAAGACCCACACTGTGAATCAGATGTACTCTGTTTCTCTGTCAGAAGAGGAAAAAACAGGCAGGCAAGGGCTTCAGTACACTTCAGTGCACTGGATCTGGTGGTCGTCTTGGGGAAGCTCAGCTTTTT